CCCCAAAACCCCAAAACCCCAAAACCCCATCAAGATCAGCTGATTTTTAAAAATATAATTGCAGCAATAATATATTAATGTAAAAACAAGTTTATTATATAGTGATTAGTGAATTCAATCTAAATGTATACTTAATTATGACATCTTCACTTCTATCCCATCACTGATCAAATTATTAGCTAACTAATATTCATTGATGTATTCTGTCATTTATAATTATTCTTTTGTTTCTATTTATAACTGATTAAATGTTAGTTCTACTATTCATACTGATTTGTTGACTATAATTGAGATTTTTCTTATCGATTAAGTCTTCATTAATACGAACAAGATTCGTTTTTGTCCGAGAGACAACTTCCTGATTTTTCTTATTCCTATTATTTTGAGAGCTAAAAGCTGTTCTTTTCCTGGAGAGAGATTTTTGTTGATTAAGATTGATCATCAAGTCATTGGACAAGTTCTTGCGGCCTCCTTGTTTCGCCATTTAATAAGATACGTCAAGATTTTTGTACTTAGGGTAACTCGTCTGATTATGAGTAAGACTAGTCTGATAATCTTTGATTGAATTTTGATATATTTTACTATCTTAGTTTGACTACAACGTTGGATTCCTCCTAATCTCTGCATTGATTAGACTATTACTCTGATTCATACTAGAAAATTAATGGGGGTTGTAGGAGCTATTGTAATTTGATTGGTTTAGTAATTCATTATTTCTCCTTCTTGAATGAGCCGAAATTAGAGTACTATTCATGTTCATACTATGATCCTAAATTAACTTGTTCTTTTAAGTTTGATTCCCCTTTAGTTCTTGGCAACTTATGACGTTTGTCTAATTGACTGGATAGTTGTTATGTCTTGACTTATTAAAAAGCAGATTCTTTGATTGGGTTTCTATTTAGAAACTGCTGTTAAGGTTATCAGTAACCGTAGCACTAAGTATATCCTTATTTGTTAATTTATTAATGCTGCTGTGATTTGGCTAGTTCGAATACTCTTTCTTAATATTTATGTTTGCCTTTTGCTGACGATTCCAACTTTCTCGAAGAGCTTCAATGCTTTAAGTATTTTGTTGAGAATGAGGGTTATGTGAATTTTTTTCATTCGATCTATAGCTATTAATTTCATAATTTTCATTCTATATGAAGTTCGTCATTCTTGACTCATCATTGATTGTAGACATCGCGTTTAAGTTTCTTCTTGCTGTAGCACTGTTGATTCTAAACTTAGACTAGTTTTTTACAGCCTAATTTCTTGTCTTAGGTTTCATGAAGAGCGTTTTTTTCTAGGCAGGGTCTTGAACTATCTCAGTCACATCCATATCAATTATCGCTTTTTCAAGCAAACTAATTTAATAGTGGGAGTTCTACTACAATGGATCATGATTTCCATATTTATCATCAAAAGCCTAAGAAGCACCCATTATACTGTTCTCTTCAAATATTACATTATTTACAGAGTACTGATTTCTTGCATTGAAGTTTTCTTAAGTTGTCGGTCTAACAAAACTTGTTGAACTGTTTGAATGAACAGGTATGGATTCAGGTTCAGGTTCCTTATTGTTATTCACCTTTTGTTCTTCCTGTTTACTCTGAATTTTAGATTCAATTTGGAAATTGTTATCAGTTCTCCCGATGCCACTGTAATTATTGGTAACTTCAATTTACTGAATGATCTCCTAATTATTCTTAATATGCTACTACTTCTGCTATCAAGAGTGAGCATGCTTTTCAATCACTGATATCTATTTGATGTAACTGTTGTGGTCGGTATTAGAGGTGACTTCACCATTTTATTGAGGAATGATCGTATTTGATTATTGAAGGTTTGTATTGTAATAAGATTGTTTCATAATTTTAAAATATAAATAAATATTACAATTATCTAACAACAAGCATTAATCAATACTACACTGTGTTAAGGGAGTCAAAACTTCACATTTATAATTATTTATACTATACAGCCTCTTCGTTAGGAGGAATAATATCCTCCTATCAGGCTATGTTAAGGACATAATTAATCTATGTCTATAACTATCTATTTTTCTGAAGGAGATTATCATTTTTCTATTTAAGGTTTAGTTTTTGACGATTAAGAGCCATCAAAAGATAGTTCAGCTTCAGATTCTTCTCCTAGATTTAAATCAGTTTCAGTTTTCTATCCTAATACTTTTCCTCATAGTCTTCTACCTATTGTCACATGTTAACCAATCAAGAGATGATGAGATTTTAACTTACTTCTTCAGATTCATCGTAACGTTTTTGCGAGTAAGTTATTTGATCATTATATGCCTTAAAATTCTCATCTGGACTTCGATTTAGTGGTTCAGGAGAGAAGTGTCTTTCAAATCTCTTCATACTAGATCTATCCTTATGAGTAAATGTCCGCCTATTCTATGTTCTATCCTAGATGACACCTAGATTTGAGAATATAGACTTTTTTCTGTTATGCTACAGTGCCAATGCAGAAATCTAGCTAGGCGTCTGAATCTAAGTAGATCCTGTCTAATATTGCTCCTTATATTTTTGATTGTTGTAATTATCATGATCACTGGTATCTACAGCATCTAGTTGTTCCTCCTATTTCTAATTATACTATAATTTGATTATTAACAAATTTTGATTACTTACGATGAATGATCTGATATTACCTCTAGATACTTTTGAGAGCCCAAATCCATTGAAGGAGTTAGAGTAGGGTCAACTTGCTTGCTTGTATTCTTCGTTCTCTATTTGCACATTGTCAACACTCTCATTTTATTTCTAAACACTATTCACCTCGCTAGTGTCATTTTCTAGTTTTATCTAATACAAAACCATCGAGAATTACGACACCTCCTTTGATTCATTCGGAATGTGGCTATGTCTATGATTGAGGATCTTCGAAAAAGGGCTTAATTAACTTGACTATTCTTAAGAACCGATCTTATTTATTGATCTGATGCTATAGATATCAAACTAATCAGGCTAATGAGAGGTATTATCATTAAACGTAATATGGTAGCTAGCGTCTTTAGCAAATGGGATCTTAGGGTCCTCAGATCCTTTACTTTCAATGTGAGCCGCCATATCAATCATTGCATCTTCTTGAGGATAGTTACTATTTTGGTCCTGCTATGATTACGATCCTCCTACAGGCATTAATAATCCTGATTAAACGAATTCAGAAGCTCTTGAGTCCTAATAGTTGTCAGAGGTCTATGAGGCTGATTCATCTTTATAACTTGGATTCTAAGATATATTCAAATTCTTTAAGAAACTGTCATTTTTGATAGATTGATCTTTTGAGTTGATAACTGAGAGATCTCTGAGTTTAAGATCATGAATGCTGCCAGTCATATCTCTGATATTAGTTCTCATAGAATTCACCCTGCCTCTTACGAAGTCATCATCCTCAGCATCTGATATATTTGTATCATCCTTTTGCATTGTGTATATTTACTTCGAGTAGGACTTGAGCTACGAATTGACCTACGAGTTGCTGAGATCATTTGAGGCACCCAATAATGCTGCTGTTTTGCTAAAACTTTGGCTTTACATGAAATACTGCTAAGGCATTTGTTTTTAATCCTGAATCATCTGTGATTAATTTATCTAGCTCATGCGCTCTGTTCAATTGATGAGATTAGATATTTAAGAGAACCTCTTGGGATGCTTTGAGGCTTGTTTTTAAGGCTCCTTTTTCTAAGTGGGTTTAAGAGGAGGTTTGCCTAGTTTCATTGTTTGATCGAATTATAATAAATGTAAATATTAATCGAGAAGTTTATTATTTTTAATCTTTTTATTCAATAAACATTAAAAGTAATTAATAGTTGATCATCAGTTGATTAAACTTTCTCATTCAATTCACAATAGATCTTTGAATTCGAAAGATTAACTTGGATATTAGATCAATTCCACGTATAAACTCAATCATTGACTAGCCTTAGCTTTCTTCAATCTTCTGAACTACTCTATCTCTTTTGCAATGATAATATTGGTCTCCTTTATTTCCTTGTCTCTATATCCGAAAAAAAAGTGAAGTACCTCTAATATAACAAAAAATGGAGCAAGGAATAGTAGGAAGACATTTTCTGAGAGGGCTGGAGCTCTCTCTAACATTTTATAGGTTAATATCAGATAAAGTGAAATTAAGACATTTTTTTAATCAAAGTAGGTATTCATGAATAGACTTACTTTCAAAAATGCCATGCCCTATGAATTAGAAAATCCAGCTAACAATGTGAATTGCAAGCATAACCTTCAAGTGATTACCACCGAATATCTCTTCATCATTCACATATAAGTACAAACTTATGAAATACAATGTAAGACCACCTGTCAAGCATCCAAACTAGGCAAAACGTCATTGAGATTGTCATTAGTCAAATTAAATAGTGCTTTTGTAAGAAGGAAATATACTTACTGCGATAAGTGTATCGACCAGAGAGAATATCATACTAACAATAGTTATTACTACCAATGAAATGTCAATAGTCACTTCATAGTTGCTGACGACAAATGTGTAAGAAGGTGCGTAATGCAGCAGAGCCCAGATTGTGAAAATAATCTAGGGGATGAAGATCAAATGGATAAGTTTGTTCCTGTATAGTTTAGAGGGAAAGGTAAATACGTTGGATTGTAGTGGTACTTAGCGTAATTGAAGTAAAACTGTCTAAACTCAAGAGGGTCATCGCTGACTCTGATAGGTTTTTCTTGGGTTTAGGTCCTGTTGCCACTAGGAGTAGGAGTAGGGGTTGACATTTGAAATTAATATTTTAATAAATCCCAGAATTACTCAGTTATATAAATTGATATCATTCCCATACATCTTTGTAAACTTAAATAAGATTTGACATGATGGGGTTTTGGGGTTTTGGGGTTTTGGGGTTTTGGGG